ATGTATATATATATATCTATGTATTTATATATATATATATATTAGCTCAGCTAATATAAACCTTCGTGACATCCTTGGCATTGAAAGGAGTACACTCCGAGATTGAGATGGCTCTTGCAAACTACCAACGGGAGAAATTCTCACGAGGTAACATCTTGAATTGGTCGTCACGATTATCGCACAAGTATAGAACAGGTAAAGAATTCGAACGAAGTGAGTCAGGAAACGAAGGTGTTCCGAGTGTACATTAGCATACCCTGATAGCGTCCTCAGTGTCGGCTACACTGGGCGTGATAAAGGACTTCGGGTAGAGGCTGCTAGCTGGTCGATTCTCCTTTTCTTGTGTACTATGAATCTGCTCCAAGTACGCGTCCTCGGGGTTTCCCAGTACGTTCCCCATTTTGCTCAATTGAACCAATTCTACTTGCAGTGCGGCGTGTTAAACAATTACGATCAAGCTTAATGTTGATATGTATTAAATATGCAGGCTAACGAATGCCTGTAACTTTTCACGCTATTCGAGCGTTTTTTTTGTGGTGTATTTAGAATGTTTTTTGAGCAACTTCTGCTCATCTGCTCATGTCAACATGTGATATTTACATACATAGAAAAAAAAGGTGGAATTTTTTTTTTTGGAAGCTATGTATATGAAAATGCTTTAAAACCCGGGGTGGAAATGAGTTGAAGAGTTGTTGTTGTGCTTGAGGCCTCGAGTCTCCGACTCTCCGACCTCCGTTGTTGTGTCAACTCATGTAGTTTAGAACTTCCAAGTCCTGGCCTGCCTCAGGCCTGGTAAATAACTAGATATACGATAAAGACATGACTTCGTAGCAAACTAGTTTCCAATCCATCGCGGTATGTCGTCTTTTAACAGGAATATCATGACGTTTATCGAACTTCTGACTGCAATAAAAGACATGTCGCCCGGATATGTCGACATTGAGAAAAGTGCTGTCTTAATTCTTAAACCTTCAACCAGCACAGCTGGCAAATCACAACCGACTCTTGAGACTTAACTCTGAGAGTCTGGTGGTCTGAGTCAGAGTTTGACTGACAGACAGTCAGACACTGGCGCCTGCTGGCTCATGGCTGTTGGCTGCTGGCAGTTTGCACACAGCCATGAAGAGCCAAAGCCTAAACCCACTGCCAGTCACACAGACTGAAGACTAACACACACACACGTCAGCGGTCAGACGGCCAGACAAGTCCGACAAGAGTTGTGAAGATCAAGACCGGACTCACAGGAGTGCAAACTTTTTAGTTTTTTACCAACTACCAACCAGCGTGGTGAAAAATTTCCAGCAAATCAACCTACAGTCCAATTGTTCCCCAATCATAATACGTTTTTCAATGGCGCCAATCATATCATTAAATATATAAACCAATAAACCAGTTTCCACTTTCCACTACATATCAGTCACAGTGTAACATTCCTGATATTCCCCAAGGCCCAAAGGCCAAAGGCCCAGGGCTCAGGAACACATCCATACACGAACTTCGATCTGCAACAAGACAGAGACTTTACATATCTGACTACATATGTACCATAAATATTTTTATTTTCAAAAACAAATATGTATGAGCATGGTATGTATGATATCATATGTAAATATGTACCTTTTATTGGTCAGTCAGCTCACAGCTGTCAACCTGTGTCAACACTCAACACAACTCACTCATACTCAAGAAGAGAGAGGGTGTGTGTGTGTGTGTGACTGTGCGTCACTCTGTCATGTGACAGATGGAGACCGTTAGACCACGGTCACAGTGACAGAGTCACAGACTCACATACCCACACGGGCCACTATGGCTCAAGCTCACGACTATGCGTCACAGTCCACAGGCCCACAGCCCTCAGTTGACAGTCCACACTCCCCCGTCCCCACAGGGCACGGTCAAGTGTCTGTCTACGCAGGGCACAGTCAATGACTGCTTAGTCGTGGACTCCATACTCACAGTCTCACTCCATAGTCCATGGCTCCAATGTTCCATACGTAGCTACACACATTTTTTTCTCACTCTCAGCATACTATCACTCTACTGCCTCTACTGATTGCATAAATATAAATTTTTACAGCAATAGTAAATATTGTGGAAAACTGGAAGGGCAATCGGTGCAAGCGTGTATCAGTGCATGTGTATTTGCTTATTTGGATTTGCTTCCTCGACCTGGGAGAAAGAGGGCCGGTTTAGAAGAAAAGATATTCATTTGCAAATAACATGCACCAGATTCTCTCCTGTGAAGATCCAGACGAAACAAGAAACAAAACTAGTACATCACTTTCAAAGGCCTACCAGCGTACGTTAAAACACATAGCCTTCTAAATTAGACAAGAGGGCAATGAAAAACTAAATTAAGCATTAGTCAGTTTCTGTACTTCCCTATTTTTTTTCCTTTATCCGTGATTAAATAGTAAAATCTAAAGGATTGTGAACTTAGCGAACTCTGCGGACTATATATATATATATATGTGTGTGTGTGTGTGTGTATGTGCATATATATATATATATATATTTATATATAGATATATTGTTTGTTTGTTTGTTTGTTTGTGTGAGTGCGCGCATCTGCGTATGTTTGTATGTATGTATCTATATATACATATATGTATTCTATATATATG